TTTTTCAAAGCAAATCAAGAGTGGCTGACGGGGGAGGCAGAGCCATCGCAAGTGCAATGGAGATGACCACAGAGACTGCAGGTAGGCTGCACTTTATGTCTACTGAGCATCTAAAGTCTTGTGATAAACAAAGAAATAAAAACATACATTTTCCCTGGCTTTTTAGATCTCACTGGTTAATCTAATGACCTAAAAGCAATAATCATGGTTATAGGTCAAACAAATGTTGGCAACGTCTTGCTTTCAAACTGTGAAAAAGATACACACACACACACACACACACACACACACACACACACACACACACACACACACACACACACACACACACACTCATTTAAGCACGCCAACACAGAAGTGGTAAAAGCACTAAACAGCCGCTCCTTTACCAGGTGTGACCACTTTCACTGCATTGTTTTCCCAAGATAAATTATTACGGACTATAATTTGCTTTTCTTTCTGCATTTTCCAGAAAAATGTGTTCACTTAAGGTAAGACATATTTGAACCCAAATATTCCCTGACAAATTCCGAGTGATATAATAACCTCGTCATTATCACACAGATTATTTTCATAGTTTCAGACAGTCATTTCAGCAGTTGCCCGACCAATTGTAGCCCTCTTCTGGCAAACAGCTGCAGATTAGAGATTACCGAGCTATTTGGATGTAAAAAAGGAAAAGATGTTGGCATCAATTTGACAATTTGAAGAGCTATATATATTCTTGAATATAACACTCTTTCTTCAAATGAACTATGTATTCTGTTTTCCTTTGTAATGAATAAATAACATTTGGTTTCCCTATTCTTTGCATTTTAGCTCCAAAACCAGCATTCCCGGAAAAACTAAATGTATGTAATACAAGCAGATAAACGTGTAATTTATGTTTCCATTCACTTTATATTTTGTGCTATATATAGTTTATTCAATTGCGCTTTTTGTGTTATAGATGCCAGTGGATATATGGGAAAACTCAGCGGTGGAGAGGTAACTCAACACTTCTGTATACATCCAGTCAGTGATCCTGCTGCTAACTCTCACTTTACCTTCCCCCTGTCTTCCTGATAAAGTACTTACCGAGTGGTTATGATGAGACGTACAGCATCGTGACTTATGAACGCAGCAAAATCGGTGAGCTGCTTTTCTTTCTAGCTTTAATATTTTCTCTAGCATGTTTTATACACATGATTTCATTTAATTTTCAGTATGAATGAACACAATCGGTGTAGATAGAATATCAACAAATAACTTACATTGTTTCATTACATTATTTGATATTTTGGCAATTAGGCGGGACAGACATTTTGAAATACAAGAAAGGACTTCAATGAGCCAATGTGTGTGTCATCATGTCTTTTTTCTTTCCCACTAGAATAACAAACGCTTACCACAGCGCCTCAAGAGGAACCAGCTGCCGAATTGCAATTAAAAAAAAAGTCCCTCCCTGCTAATTTAGTGTAACATGTTATTTCATGTATTAGCTTCTTATGGGTCCAGGTGACAGGTGGACGGTCAGTTGTGTGTTTTAGTTTAATTCTCCCGAAGCTGAAGGATTAGAGGTGTCCATGGGGAATGTGGGGGCTTCACTTTAATAACAGCTACAAGAACAAAAAAGCCTTTGCAGCACAATTCTGGGAATATGAAGTGAAATGCAGATTTCAGTGTTAAAAAATTACTTCATGTTTGATTCAAGAAGACCATTAACAAGCTAAATGTGAGCAGCTAGTGAACACATGATGAAAAGACTCTTTCATTTTCTTCTGAAACTGTTAGCTGACACTTTGGTAGACTTGAAATAAATATATAACATGTTCTATGTTTTTAATTCTACATTGTGGGTATTTATGTGGCCTGTTTGTTTCATGTTTAATGTTAACTGTGGTTTTCCTGAGAGCAAGTTCTGAACTGACACTGAAGTACATCAAAGCTCACATACTCAGAGACACAAGCTTCTTCTGTCTGAGAAGTCTTATTGAGCTTCATCATGGCTGGACGTCTGCTGTTCGTCATCCTCATCTGTAAGTTATACCTTCAGGAGAGTTCTTCATTATTAATGTAGACTTTTACACATTAGTTCCACTTGATGGAGCGTGGTTTACTTTCTGTTCTTTTTATGGTTGTTCATTTCATGCCAGTGTTTTGAATTCTGTTTTTTTCTGTAAACTCATCGTGAAACTTTGGTGCAGACCTTACAAATTAGATCTTCAAAAAAGTTGTCTATCTTGATCTTTATTTTCATATTTTCGTAAAGGTATTAATACGTTATTATTATTATTATTATTAATGTTATGTTGATTTAACTTGTTAAAAAATTGTATTTTCCGGCAGATTCCTTTCACAAGATTCAAACACAAGGTCAGTCTCTGATATATCCTCTTAATGTCCACTTGGGCTGTTTTCACTGTAATATATGACAAGATAAGATAGGATGAACCTCAATTTATCCCTATTAATTAACTATAATATTCTGAAAAACTTTGTTGTTGTACAGTATATTTTTTCCCTGTCACAATAACATTGTTTTTTCCATGATACGAATACAATAATTAGTATCACATTCAAATTGGGTGTCCTGCAGTGGGTATGAGACGATATCCATTGAATTGAATTCCTTTATTGTCATTGAACAGGTACAACAACATTGAATTGTATTAAACATAAAAAGTAACATATTTATCAGCACAAACAGCAGTGGCTCTTAACATATGGGGTCAAGTCTTACAAGAAAAGTTATAGGTTATCAATGATTACTCTGCCAGTATAGAGAAAATCAGAAATGATTTAAATAAATAAATTCAGCTATTTATATCTAACATATAAACTTATATTTCCAGATCTTCTTCCAGCGACACTGACAGTGAATCCTCCGGTGATCACAGAGACAGACTCAGTCACTCTGCACTGTCAGACTCCACTCTCTGTTTCTGTGTCTCAGTGTTATTTCTACACTTTAAATGGACGAACTAGAGTCTTCCCTTGTCTGAAGACTCTGACAGGAACTGAGCTGCTGCTGATGTCACAGCAGAGATCACCTGCTGAGGTTCAAGTGAAATGTTATTATCTGTAACGTTTGAAGGGTCAACTTCTCTATCTCGACACGGTAACACGTCTTCCATCACTGTACGCAGTGAGTGACTTTTATTCCCATCCACTGCTATAAGCATATTTATTGTAGAGAAAAGTGTGACAAATATAAATCCCCTGAGAGTGATGTATCCTCCATTATTC